GCTCTAGGCAGAGAAGGATGATGAGCCCCATTTTACAGATGAGGCTGTCCAAGTCTAGAGAGGCACAGTTATTCGCCCAAGGTCACTCTGAGTGACTGATAAAGTTGGGACCAAGAACCCAGTGCTCAGCCTTCCCCAAGCCACACCCAGAGTTGCCGGGCTTCATCAGGGAGAAAAGCGATAGGCTGAAGTCCCACCACCCACTTTAACCAAAGGCACAACTGTCCTCCCCACCCTTTGCCTTTGCTGGGCCATCCCCTCCCGGACCCTTCCACCCCACAACTCACTCCAGCTCCTCCAGGTGGTGACAGTGGCTTAGACCAGATGTCAGGTGGGCTAGCGCACTGGAGCTCACACAGCTGGAGGTCAGCCTGGTGGGGGTCAAAGGGAGGCAGGTCAGGTAGGAGCTCTGGGTCTTGGGAGCTCTGGATGCTGGTGGCAGAGGGCAAGGAGGTGGGGTGGGGAATGGTTCCTGGGGGGCAGTGGGAGGGGACCTTCCTTCCCTTCATAAATCTCTCCCATCAGGGAATCTTTAAGTCAAGACATAGCTTGGAGGCAGGAACATGGACTAGTTGAATACTTGTCTGAACCACAATCATTCAGGTAGCAACTTCACAATGTCTGCCATAATCAGGTATCACTGTAAAGTCTAGCTAGTTACTGTCCTTTACCATGAGCTCTGCATCTTTATTTAAACAGAAAATGTAGCAAGTATTGGAGAGGGTGTTAAAGATATATTAGTACCAAAAGGAGACCTTCCCCCTGATGCGATCGGTTGAATTAAAAGAGAACTGAGAGTTACAAAAGCTCCACTTTGCAACCATCATCCTTGATATTTGATTCAGGCAAGAATTATCAATGGATGCTAAAATTCGTGGGTGAAAGTTTGAGGAAGAGCAGGATATTTATATCATCTTAAGGTATCTTCCTACCAGATAACTGGTTAATTACAAAGGGAAAAACAGTAGCTTTGCAAGTGAAGAAACCTGGCAGACACCACCTTAACCAGGAGATCACAGTTAACATCCCCAGTAAGGGGACAAGTAGGCATCATGTGCCTCCCGATGTGACACACTGAGAAGAACACAGCAGCACCTCTGTGATATTCCTGCCCCAAATGCAGAACACAAATCTAAGCATGCGGAAACAGCAGAGAAACCCAAGCAGCAGGGCATTCTACAAAATAACTGCCGTGTAAATGTCATGACAGTATGAAACACAAAGAGGGGCTGAGGACACATTCCAAATTGAAGGAGACTAAAGAGAGATGACAACTGAACACAGTGTGTGATCCTGGATGGAATCCAGGACTGAAAAAAAAAATGCAATAAACATTATTGGGACGATTGGCAAAATTGGAATATAAACTGTAGCTTAGATAATAGTAGGATACCAATGTTAAATTGCCTGAATTTCATACCTTTACTGGATTAGGGGAGAGAATGTTCTTGTTCTTAGGAAATTCACTGAAATATTAAGGGCCGAATGGGCATAATTATACAACTTACTTTCAAATGGTTCCGAACAAGAAAGGGGGGGGGGTGGAGAAGAGAGGGGAGGGGTGAGGAAGGAGGAAGGGAAGAAAAGAGCAAATGTGAAAAAATAATGACAAAGGGTTAATCTGGGAAAATGGCATATGGAGGTTCTTCTCAGTCTTCTCGCAACTTTTCTATTAGTTTGCAATTATTTCCAAATAATAAAGAAAAGAAAAAGAAAGAGCATTCAAAAGGGAATCACCTTCACGCCACATGGCCATGTAGATGACCATGAACCCTGGCATCATCTCCAGGGTCATGTGTGGTCCCAGCCCATGGGATGGGGACACAGAGCTCCTCTGAGCGCAGGGTTGGGGAGAACAGGAAGTGTGGGGGCAGGGCTGAGCTGCAGGGGGCGGGGAGGGCGGGGGAGGCCCTGAGTGAAAGTCTTGTCTGCATACCGGAAGTTCTTCAGCTCAGAGAGGGACAGCAGGAGGCTTTGTAGCAGCAGAGCACTGGCTTCGCAGAGGTTCACCTGGGACAAGCTGAAAAGGCCCAAGCATATTCCAGAGGATTTCAGGCTGGACACACCTCAGGGATCAAACATCACACAAAGATGGGGAGGCCAAGAGAGGGGAAAGGCCCACCCAAGAGCTCCCAGTGGGGCAGGCCTCCCCTCTGCCACCCTGGGGCTCTCCCCCACTGGCCAGATGTGATTCTCTCCTGCAGAGGGAAGCAAGAATGCTAGCACAGCCCCACGCTCTGCTCATCTCCATCCTGCACTGGCCAGCCTCTCACCTATGGCCTGGAGCGGGCACTGGGGTCAATCAGAGAACTCAGGGCCCCAGACAGCGTTTCGGGGTGCTGACCTGAGCTGCCGCAGCCGGGCGCAGGTCTCCATCAGCTGCCTGGCAAGAAGGCTGTGGTGGGTCCCAAGGTCACAGTGAGTCAGCCTGGAGGTGGAGAGGGAGGCAGCAGCTTCTAAACACCTGGCTCAGTACCGGGTGCTCAGTCCCCACCTGCAAGGAGCGTTTCTTACGGTGGTAAATAAATGCTAATCAAATAAAGTCCCCCAATTTACTAATCAATCATGGGAAGTACGATGAAGGAGAGGTCAGGATGGGGCACCTGGTATGGCTGTGCAGGTTGTTCACTGCACAAGGAGACCCAGCCAAGGAAATGAGTTGGGGCTGAGATCCAGGTATGGTCTAGTCCTCACAATGTATACTTGCAGGGCTGCATTCCCCCAAAGAGGTGACATTTTAATTTCCCAAAACGTGCTATATGGATTAGAGGAGCTGTGAACCCAGGCGTCTGTAAGAATGGATGATGGGAGGACTTGACTAAGTCTGGGTGGGTTGGAGGGGCCTCCCTGAGATGGTGGCATTTAAACTGAGACCTGAAGGATGAGGTCGAGTTAGCCAGGTGAAGAAAGATGAAGAAGGAAAGGGAGGAGAGAATATTCTGGGCAGGAAACAGCCTGTGCAAAGGCCCTGAGGTCAAAGAGAGCAAGGTGGTGTTTAAGGTACTGGAAGCTTAGCTGGAGCCTAGACTGGGGTTTGGGGTAGGGATAGATAGCATCAAGAGGTAGGTTGGGCCAGATCTCACAGGCCATGTAGAGACTTTGGGCATCAAAGTACTCTGAGCAGGGGCATGAGAATTATTGGTCAGAAGCAGCAGTACCCCCCTCTCCCCCTCCCTCCATCACCAGCCTCTCTCTTGGGGCCCCAGGTACTGGGTCTCACCTGAAGGCCATGGCTTCTGGGTTCTCCTGATGGGGAAATTCCAGCTGGATACAGAGCTGCTGCTGGGTCTCGGAGATGCTGAGGAGGGAAGGGGTAGCCAGCGTGAGGCCCACAGCAGCTTTCCCGTATCGGCTGTGCTGGGACTGGGGCTGCTCAGCCGACTGAGCTCCCAGACCCAGTGGGGATCTGGACATAGGTCAGTGAGACACCAGCGCCTTTGCTCTTAGCTAGTCCATGGGATCCTGGCACCTCTGGTTACAGAGCCATGGTGTGTGTTACTGTCACCAGGGGCCCCTTCCAGACAAGCAGCATGGACTTCCAGCAGTGTCTGTCTGGGATCTAACAGGCCTTCGTCTTGAACCTGGGGCTGCCTTCCTCTCTCTGGTCCTGCGGCTTGCCTACTGCACAAGTCCCAGCAAGTATGTGTAGCCCCTCACATATGCCCCAGGAGCTCCTGCCATCTTGGGGACGCAGAGTACTCACTAGGGATGCAGCTATTACCCCACAGGACAAGAGACCAAAGTCTAGGTGACGGATGGTCCCAATGGTCATGAAAAGATGAACTTGAGCGGCTTCCTCCCTGGACTTACCTTATTTCAGTGACGTTGCCTGAGGCTTGGGCACAGACTTCTAGCAGCATGAGCACCCCGGCTTTGCCCACCCACGGCTCCTCCACCCTGTCACAGAGGTGGACACAGATAAAGGTCGCCTAGGGTTAGTGGGGGCGGAGAGGAAAGTGCCAAGGGGGCTGCCTAGAGGCTTTTTGGGTTTTGCTGATTTTTAAAACAATAAAATTTAAAATTGGGCATAAGCATAAAACAGAAAATTAACATCATCCTTGTTCTAACAGTTATGCAACCATCCAAAGGGAAAATATTATTTTTTTAAACAATATTTTTAGGTTTAAGAAAAGGTCTACATAACGTCATGTTGCAAAGATAGGGAAATAAAACTGTATATGAAACATGATCCCAATCTTGTATTTAAAAAAGGAAAAATATATATGGAAAGGGAAAAACACATATGGTGAGGAACAGGGAGACAGAGCTGTGAGAAAAATATATTAAATGTTAATGGTGATTGTTTCAGTTGTAGAATTCTCTTGAAGTGTTTTTATTTTATTTCTTCTTTAGTTTTCAGTATTTTCAGAACTTTCTACAATGTGTATGCATTAATTTAAAGATTCTTTTTGGATGTGAACCATTATTTTAAAGTCTTTATTGAATTTGTTACAATATTGCTTCTGTTTATGTTCTGGTTTTTTGGCCACAAGGCACGTGGGATCTTAGCTCCCCGACCAGGGATCGAACCCACACCCCATGCATTGGGAAGGCGAAGTCTTAACCACTGGACTGCCAGGGAAGTCCCTGTATGAATTAATTTAGAAGCAGGAAAAAAGACAGCTCTTTAAAACATTGCTGCTTCTAAAGTTATGTTGAATTTTTTTTTCAAAGTACTATTTTCTTCTTACGTTCTTCTGGGTTTTCCACAAATTTCTACGAGGAGTACACATTATTTTTAGAGTAAGACAAGTTTTATTTTAAAATGCTATTTGGGGTGATCTAGCGATTCTACACCAAAGAATTGAAAGCTGAGATATAGAGATATTTGTACACCTATGTTCGTAGCAGCATTATTCACAATAGCCAAAAGGTGGAAGCAAACCAAATGTCCACTGATGGATGAATGGCTAAAGAAAATGTGGTGTGTACACATAGTGGAATATCATTCAGCCTTAAGTGGGAAGGGAAATTCTATAACATGGTACAACAAGGATGAACCCTGAGAATATTATGCTGAGTGAAATAAGCCCATCACAAAAAGACAAATACTGTATGATTCCACTTGTATGATGCACCTAGAGGAGTGAGATCCACAGAAACAGAGTAGAAAGGTGAGTAGAAAGCCAGGGACTAGGGGGAGGGGAAAATGAGGGGGCGGTTAATGGGTACGGAGTTTCAGTTTTGCATGAAAAGTTTCGGTTACACAGCAATGTGAATGTACTTAACACTACTGAACTGTGCACTTAAAAATGGTTAAGATGGTAAATCTTATGTTATGTGTATTCTACCACAATTTTTAAAAATGTCATGTTGGGGAACAACCAGACTCTATATGCCTCATCGTGGGCTGAGTTGAAAAGTGCACAGCATTGGCCATGAAGTAGGTATTTTTAGACACAAATCCCATGGAGCCTTTCCAGTTCCAGGCAAGTCAGGGGTTAGAGGAGCAAACTCAATGACATCACAAGGAAGCACCAGACAGAGCCAGAAAGTGGGACGGTCTATAGCACAGGGGACCGGTTTTGTCAACGGTTCGCCCACTAGGAGTCCGAAGAGCCATCACCACTCCATGCAAATGTGGACCTTGACGGGATCCTGGATCCAAAGAGCCAGCCATCCCATCTGGGGAGAGTGGGAAATTTTAGATTGGACTGGGTAATACCTGACACTAAGGAGTTGCTACTGATTTTTGTAGGTGTCCTAATTCAACTGTGATTATGTAGAAAATGTCCTTATTTTTTAAAGATTTGTGGTGAAATATTTTGGAGTGATATTTTATGAGATCTATAACTTATTTTAAGACACTTCAGCTAAAAAGTAAAAAATTTGAGGCAAATATGGAAAAACACAAACAACTGTCAAAACTAGGTGATGAAAATATGAGTTTTCAAAATTGTTTTTCTACTTTTTGGAATCTTCTGTTTTTCTGAAAGTTTTTTTTGTTTTTTTTTTTTTTTTTTTTGCGGTATGCGGGCCTCTCACTGTTGTGGCCTCTCCCGTTGTGGAGCACAGACTCCAGACGCGCAGGCCCAGCGACCATGGCTCACGGGCCCAGCCACTCCGCGGCACGTGGGATCTTCCCGGAGCGGGGCACGAACCCGAGTCCCCTGCATTGGCAGGTGGACTCTCAACCACTAGTGCCACCAGGGAAGCCCTTTCTGAAAGTTTTAAAATGATCGCAGTGAACATACAAACTTGATATTTGTTACATATTATTTCTGACCTCAGCTCAGTGTCCTTTTCAGTTTCCTCTTTTTCTGAAGTCCCCAAATATAGGCCCCACCTTGGGGAGGGCGGCTTCTCTGCGCCTGAGCGGGTTTCTGGGACTAATGGGCAGGGTGGTCCTACATGCAGGTGGCAGGGCTCTGGATGCAGGAAACGGCTAAGACCATGACCTCCGGGGGACCCATACTTCAAAGCCCACCTCTGCCCCCCATTCCCACCACGGCCCCCTCCCAGGGTCACGGGCAGGCGATACCTGAGAGTGAGAAGCCCTGCCGGCCACTTTAGCAGACCCAGGAGGATAGTTAGCTGCTCCAGGCCCAGGAGGCACTGGGTCAACCTGCAGACAGAGGTCAGTTACCAGAGAGGTTCTGGCAGGGACTCTCCACCCCTCAGCTGCCCCCACGGGCGGGGCCTGGTCACTCACGTGAGCTCCGTCAGCCACAGGGCCTGGCTCAGGCCAGTGGTCAGTCTGGGCACCTGCTCTGGCCCGAAGCTGCACTCGCTGAGCCTGAGGGCAGAAGGCAAGGGACAGAGGTTTGGGCGAGGCCTGTTGGGACTGCCGTCCTGCTGCCAGCACCAATGGGGGAGCCTTCACTGAGTGCGAAGGCCTGGACCAAAGGCCTGAGAAAAGGCCAAAGACGCAACCCTTGCTCTGGGAGCTTCTCTTCTCTTTGGAGAGACCACCTCCCAAGAGGGTGCCAGGAGTCAGTCATTTACTGAGCCCTGACTATAAGGCAGGCACTGTGCCAGCCTCTGGGTGCGCCATGTGAGCACGCAGGAGTGCCTGCCTTATGTGTAGGATCTCACTGATCCCCAAAAGCATCACCTACAGATGGAGAAAGTGGCCAACCCGAGGACACACAGCTGGTAAGAAGCAGGGACAGATTCGGGTTTCAATCCAAGTCAGCCTGACTCCACACCCCAAACCTGTGACCGCTTCCCTAGTCTCCAGTACCACACTAGTCCAGGCTCCCTTGGGGGCAGGAGGGACTGGGACTCTTGCTGTGGCCCTGCCCTCCCACTGCCCGGCCCCGTGTGGCCGGCAGACAGGCCTCAGGACACTGTCTCACAGACAGACGGGCTGAGAAGAGGGCCCAGCACAGCACCACGGGGCCGCTCCCTCTCATAGGACAGGGGCCACCAGAGGTGTCCAGGAGGGGCTGACATTTGAGCTGGGTCTTAAAGGATTAGGAGAATTTGATCTCAGAAAAGGTAGCGAAGAGAACGTCAGGCTGAGTACGCAGAAGCAGGGAAGCTTCATCGGGCAGTGCGTGTTTGGTGAACAAAGATCCCTTGTGGCTGAATTTGTGCGCACATGTGCTGTGTGTGTGGGGGGGGGTGGTATGTGGTGTGTATATACTTGGTGTGAGGGTGGTGTGTGTGTGGAGCGGGGTGCGGGGAGGAACACAGCGGGAGGTGACAGCCAGATCAGACTCTGAGGGAGAAGACCAGGCCAAGCAATTTGGACTTTATCCTGAGGGCAACTGGGAGCCCCCGAAGGGCTTAGAGCAATGGAGTACCACAGTCAGATGTGTGTGGTGGGAAGATGCCTCCGGGTGCTGTGCGATGATTGCAGGAGGCCTAGCCAGAGGCAGTGGACCGATTCAGAGACCAGGACCAAAGGTGAAGCAAGACATGCAGAGGAACTAACCCAAGGCTGAGAGACAGACAGAGCTCAAGGCTACCGGGGGAATAATAATAACAGTAATAATAAACAACTGATACAACACTCAAATAAGCCAGGGCCTTTCCAAGCACTTTATATATATTAACTCATTTAATCCTCACAATAACCCTGAAGGGTAGGTCTCACTATTATTCCCATTTTACAGATGAGGAATTGAAACGCAGATAGGTTAAGTCACTTGTCCAAGGTCACACAGCTGGTAAGTGGTAGAACTAAGATTTATCCCAAGTGGCTCCAGAGTCTGATCTCTTAACTCAGAAGCCTCCAGACTTATAGTTAGGACGTGGCTAAGGGGCACAAATACCACTCAAAGGCCCAGCCCAGGGGCTGGAGGCAAGGGGGGGCTGGGGGCAGATGTGGGGGAGAGGCAAGCCCGGCAGTAGCTTGAAGCAGGGAGTGTGAAGGAGGAGAGGCCCCAGAGAGGAAGGAGGCATGGAGGCCGCCACAGGGTCGACCCCCCGTCCCCCATCCCCCCTTCCTGCCCCCCAGACCAGAAATTACCTCAGTGTCTTCCTAGCCTCCTCCTGTCGGGAGAAGTGAATCCAGAAGCTCTGCTTGGAGCCCAGGCTGCAGAGAGAGGGGTGTATGGAAGCCGAGGGCCCAGCTTCGCCGGCATCCTTGGGACCCAGGCGCCAGGGGGTGCGGGAGGGAAGGGGGCTGGGTCTTCAGGGGCAAGGGCGGGTGGAAGCCACGGGAGAGACCCGTGCCCACCCGAGGAGAGACCCACCTCCTTCTTCAAGGACCCCAAACCTGGTGTGCCCCAACCCGTGGCCTCCCTAGGCCCTGTGGCACACGGGCCTCAGAGGATGGAAACTATGATCCCACGTCCAGTGAACCCTGAGACTCAGAGAGGGGCGGAGGTTGCCCAAGTCACACAGATGGAGGGGCACTGAGTGTGTGAGTCTTGCTTCCCCACCATCAGCAACTGGCACCAACGTCGCCTTACTTCACTGAGGCCTCCCGGACACGTGGGCAGGAGGGGAGAGTCTCCACCAGGCACAGGACACTTTCCTGAGAGATACCGTTGTGACTTAGACTAGAGGAGAAAAGAGGTTCAGGATGGGGGGGTGGGGGGAAGCACCTCAGTGGAGCCCTGCCCAGCCCCCCTCGTCTCTTCCCTTCCAGCTGTCATCTCCCAGAGGAGCGTCCTCAATGTCCGAGTGTCCGTTCTCCAGGTGGAGACACTGAGGTCCAGAGAGAGGCCAGAGGGGCGCTATCCCCACACGGGGCAGGTCAGGCACCAGACTATGAGTCTTTGAGAGCTGCCCCTGTGGTCTGAGACGACCGGGTGATGATGAGGCCAGGCTGGCAACTCCAGCCCCACAGGGGTCAGGGATGCCCAGAGCACAAAGCCCAGCTGCCTAGCAACGGGTTGTATCCTGGCTCTGGCCGCCAGTCTCCCAGGTCACTGAGTGAGTGAGGATGACTTCCTAGGGACCCTCCGTGCTGTGGCGACATCCCCAAATCCGTGTCCCATAGATTTGGTCAGAGGAGCTTCAGGGATGGGATGGACCAAGAGCCAGGACAACTGAGACCCAGCAGCTGGTTAGGGATGAACTGTTGCTCCCTACCCGGAGCAACTTGGGTCACCAAGCTTTAGTCATAGCCTCTCCTGGGTGTCTGATGGGAGCTCTGCCCATAGTGGGCAATGAGGGAAGGAAGAAAGGGCCCAAGGTAGGCAGGGGTCAAGGTAAGAATCAGCCCTTTCCCCTCCCCAGCCCTTGTCCTCTGCAGTTCTCTAGGGATGCCTCAAAAGAAGCCCACTAATGTTCTTGGCCCTGGGGAGTCTTCCTCCTTGCTGTCCTTGAGGCTGCTCGACACTTACTCAAGTGAACCGGAGATGGGCACCTGAGGGAGACATTCCAGGAGGCACCTGAGCCCGGCATCACCCAGCAGGTTTGCTGAGAGGCTGCAAGAGGTACGAGGAGGTTGTTGGTGCTCAGACGTGCCTTCTCTTCAGTTACCATCACTGCTACTCTACCCGCCCAGCACTGCCATTATCCCCTCCTCCACTCTGCACTAATTCCGTTCCAACAGCACCGTCATCACCACCAGCACCATCCCATCACTGCTACTCGGCATCAGCACCTCCATCACCACTAGAATTATCACCACCATCCCCCTCACCAGCACCACAGTTAACCAACCCTCATCTTCCCGTTCAGTATCTGGTGACCACTCCCAAGACTCATGTGCCTCCAGCAGGCTTTCAGGGGTTAGAGAAAAACCAGTTAGCTTTCACTATGCACTTGGCCTGCATCCGTTGGGAGCCATAATTTTTGAACAAGAGTAAATTCAGGAAAAAGAAAGATATTTGGAGGATGTATTTATCCATCAGATTTCTTCTTTTAATTTGAGAATGCAATAGCTGAAATTGCACTGGAAGACTTTCTTATTTCCCTTCATTGTAGCATTCTATGGTTTTAGCTACAGTTTCAGAAACAATATAATCAGCATGCCTGGGAATATCTGATTTTTGTCCTGCATCTTTGAACTCATTTTGCCCCTGATTATGACACTTTTTTTTTTTTTTTGGTGGTACGCGGGCCTCTCACTGCTGTGGCCTCTCCCGTTGCGGAGCACACGCTCCGGATGCGCAGGCTCCGGACGCGCAGGCTCAGTGGCCATGGCTCACGGGCCCAGGTGCTCCGCGGCATGTGGGATCCTCCCGGACCGGGTCACGAACCCGTGTCCCCTGCATTGGCAGGCGAACTCTCAACCACTCCGCCACCAGGGAAGCCCCTGATTATGACACTTTTAAGCCTTGTTTATTTTGTCTTTTCCTGAGAAATTTTAAAAATGAAAACCTAGTTTGTCTCAGGAAGCCACTTAATAAAGTAATCTTTAAAATAAGCAAAAGTTCCCTCTATAATGAAAAAACAGGAAAACTTAAAGACATCTTGCTTATTCATCTTTCTTTAAAATACATGATTTTCATCAGCCGCATTTCTCTCCTTGGCCACATCACAACAGGAACTTAAATTGTGTTTTTTCGGGTAGACAGCTCTCTTTACATCCTGCTTGTCCTAAGCTGGACTCCTAACAGTTTTGAGCAAAGACTGCATCGTACTAATTGTGCGACTTAGGGCAGGTTCTTAAACTCTCTGTACCTCAGTTCTCTCATCTATAAAATGGGGATAATAGTACTTAGGGTTGTTGGAAGGATAAAAAGAATATGTAAAGCACTTAGGACAGTGGAGAAACTACTCAATAGGTATTAGCTTTTTTTCACCTACCCATGCGGGCTGCACTATCTGGGCACCCTCAGACACCACTTCTCATCAATTTGACAGTCCACAAATCCCCATCCTCCAGGGCCCTCCGCAGGCTGAGGCATTTGTTGTTCTTAACCACCTGCCAGGCAAACCAACAGATCCCTTCTTTCAGGCCCCACCAGCCAGCAGAGCTCCAGTGCCCTGATCAACATGAGGCCAAGGGGCTCCTGTGGCCCTTTGTGAAGGGCTCCCCAGATTAGATCAAGGGCATACCCTGAATTAGCTCCACCATGGTGGCAGTGGGGAATGGTAGGGATAAAATGCGGACAGAGAAACGATGTGGATGTGACTGAGTCCCAGGCATCCCATGCCCTGTTAGCTGGTCCTGAGAGGTGCTGATTGCACACACACACGCATGCACACACACCCCGTCGGTGCCACCCAGGCACACGCTCCTGGGCTCCTCTCCCTCCTCCTGCCCGACTTACTCCAGCTGGCTGAGGTCTTCACACTTGCTCAGCAACCAGCAGAGCGGCTCCACGTGCTCCTGGCTGAGACCGCAGCCTGTGAATCTGCTGCAGGAAGGGGTGCAAACCGGGAATGGGGCCACTCAGACCCTCTGTCCTGGCTAGTCCTGGGTGTGGCCTCTGAGTTTCAGCGGGGCCTCACCCAAGCTTGGATTCTCTGGAAACATCCAGCATCCACCACTCCCACCTCCCTCCACAGCAGATCCCACCAATATTCTCCCTCTGGGGAGGTGGTTCTCAAAGTGTGGTCCTCGACCAGCCCCACCAGCATCCCTTGGGAACTTGGTGAGGGGCATGTTCTAGGAACGCAACCCAAATGCACTGAATTAAAAGCTCTAGTAACAAGGCTCTCCAGACTGATTCTGATTCAAGGTGAACTATAGCTCTTGGCGGTCACTTTAATGGACAGACATGAGGGTGGAGTGGGGGAGACTAAGGGTGATGTCTGCTCCTGCAGAGGGTTATTGATGCTGGAATCAAAAGTAATAGTAAGTGTCTTTGAGATGCCTATACCGAGACTACACAATAAGGTAAATGAGCAGCTTACGGCCAGCCAGCAACTTAAAAAAAAAACATCTTAAAATGAGAAAGCACCTAAAATCAGTATCTAAAATTTTTATCATTGTTACTCTCCTTCATGATTTTTTCCATAGTCCTAAATTCCCTATTACCCTACCGTTTACTTCATATTTTATTTTTATTTATTTATTTAAGTTTTGCGGTACGCGGGCCTCTCACTGCCGTGGCCTCTCCCGTTGCGGAGCGCAGGCTCCGGACGCGCAGGCTCAGCGGCCGTGGCTCACGGGCCCAGCCGCTCCGCGGCACGTGGGATCCTCCCGGACCGGGGCACGAACCCGTGTCCCCTGCATGGGCAAGTGGACTCTAAAACCACTGCGCCACCAGGGAAGCCCTACTTCATATTTTTAAATCAGCTCATTCTTTTTATTTAATGCATTTATTGGAAAAGGAAACCCTGTATCACTCACTCCAATGGAAAACTGAAATTGCCTGCCCCAAACAGACCATAAGCATAAGGATACAGGAAATGGGAGCAAAATATCATCATTAAATTCAAGCCAGACACTGGCACCTGCTGAGAGCTCTCTCTTTATTTAAAAGGGAGCTTAGCAAATGTTAAGAGGTGTTGTAGACACGCTAACACCTAGCTGGGGCTTCCTCTTGGCCTTAATCAGAGAGTTGAAAAGGGAGGAATTCAATGAAGCTGAAATACCCTACTATCCGCCCAACCTCCTAAAAGGAGGTCCTGCATTTTGGAAATCACAGACTTGGAAACTATGAAGGTATTCTAGAAGTCACGATAGTGTTGGGTTAAGACAGGAATTGGAAAGTCTACAGCCCAAGACCGCCTGCTTTATAAGACCATTTTCAAACAGTTGAGAAAAAAATCAAAAGGAGAGTAACATTTCCTGACACAGAAACATTACATGAAATTCATGTCTCAGTGTCCATAACTCCAGTTTTACCGGGACACAGACACACGCCTTCGTTTACATATCGTCTGTGTTGCTTTCAAGCTAAAAACGGCAGGGTTGAATAGCTGAGATAGAGACCCTGTGGCCTGGAAAACCCCAAATATTTACAATCTAGCCCTTTACAGAAGAAGTCTGCCTGCCCCTGGGCCAGGAGCGCTATAAGACTCCCTGGATTCAAGTCCCAGCTGTACCCCTTCCTGCTGCATGACCGCAGCTGTGAGGCTTATAGGACGTAATCTGCATGAGGCTCTTAGAATGGTGCCCTACAGATGCTCAGCAAACATCAGCTCCTTATTTATTGTTATTTCGCAGCTGAGGAGGCTGAGACGCAGAGAGAAGGGTCTGGTCCAAGGTCACTCGGTGAGCCAGTGGCATCAAATAGCTACGAGAAACGTCATCTCTGTACTTAGAGGTTATTCCCTGGCCCCATTATCCTGTGCAATGCTGGCTCCCCTCTCACCAAGGCAACCACAGAGCACTGGTCCAAGAGCCAGCGGTGCGGCGCAGGGGGACACTCATAACTGTGAGTGCCTCTCGTGCTTTACACATTGCCTCAATTCCTCTTTGCTAACGGCCTGCAATATAGCATCTCCCTTCTCCAACTGCGGAAGCTGAGGATTGGACAGGTTAAGGAACTTGCCTAAGGTGCCAGGCCCTTGTGGGGTTGGTATTTAAAGCTTGGGGGGCAGGTTGTGGAGTCCTTTTCCTCAGACCAGGCCCCTGAGCTCTAATCCTGTCTGCTGTGGACTCCTTGTTTGCCCGTGACGGAGCCCAGCCCTCTCAGTCTGTCCTCTGCTCTGGACATCCAGGAGGCAAGTCTGCTCGTCCTCAATCCCCACGGGCTGCTTGGGCACAGTTCCGGGGGACTTACCCACAGCACCCGCCTTCCTGCTCCTCGCTAGACCTGAAGTGCAGGGTCGCGTGATGCAGGGACCTGGAGCAGACAGCACCTGGGTCAGCCACCCTTGACCACAGCCTCAGCATGCCCCCAGGGGGCAGGCCCCCCTCCTCCAGCAGCTGAGTCTCTGATTTGGGTCCCACTATCTCCATCCTAGCCCCTCACATCCAACAGGCTCCAGGCACCACCCTCCTAGGTTCTGGTTGTCCCAGGGCAATGCTCACCTGAGATCCACCTTCTGAACCCGTGGGCACAGGCTGAAGATGTCAGCCAGCAGGAGGGGGCTCCTTGGGGACAGTTCCATCTGGGTCAGCCTGAGTAGGAAAGGGGCGGGGCCCTATGTGAGCAAGTTGGAACCAAGCAAGATCAGTGGGCAAGAAACCTGGACAGGCTGGAGGCGAATGAAAAGGATGGGGGGCTGATGGGTCAGCCAGGCATTAAGGAAGGAGACAGGAACTCAAGAGGGAGAAATAGGAGCTTGAGGTCAAGTGGACTGAGGTTTGAGTCCTAGTTCTGCTTACTGGCTGTGTGTCCTTGGATAAGTGACTTAACCTCTCTGAACCTCAGTTTCCTTATCTGAAAAACAGAACTACTTATACACCTTCCTCTAGGGTGTCATGAGGACTGAATCATATCAAGCTTGTGCACTGCCAGCACGATACCCATGCTTATTGTTATTATTATATTGTTTTTATCCTAAGCACACATAGGTGAGTCCTTGCTGACAAGGATCGGGAAGCTTTAGGTCCTCAGAGTTTCTCAAGCTCAGCATTACAGAGATAATTCTTTGGATTTGGGGGCTGTCCTGTAGGAAGTTTAACAGCATCCCAGACCTCTACTCACTAGATGCCAGCAGTAGCATGACCTCCCACCCCCTCTGCCATCATGACAACAAAAATGTCTCCATTGCCGAATGTCTCCTGAAGGGCAAAATCACCCTCCAGCTGTGAACCACTGCCTTAGAGAAAAGTGAGATGCTTCCATCTTGCCCTTGGAGGCATCCTTGGTGTCTCCATTTCCCTCGCTCCATAAACCCTCCATCAGCTTGTCTTGTTGGTTACACCCCCAAGATCCACCCTGAATCTACCTACTTCCCTCTCTCCCCACCAATTCCCTGCGCCCATCATCTCTTACCCTGGCTGTACAACCCCCTCCCTGCTCTTGCTTCCACGCTTGTCCCGGTCCCTTCTCTACCCAGCAGCCAGACTAAGCTTTTGAAAACACAAATCGTTCCTCTGCCTTGGGCAAAATCCCAAACTCCTCGCCACAGCTACCAGGCCCTGTGTGACCCGGCCCAGGTTCATTTCTCTACCTTCTCTCCTACAACTCTGCCGGCCACTGTGCTCTGGCCACACTGGCCTTTCTGCCTGTTCCTCGAGCCCACTGAGTTCAATCCTGCTTCAGGGCCTCATGCATGCTGTTCCATCTCCTTGGAATGCTGTTCCCTGCTTTTCAAAAGGCTGGCTCCCTCTCTTCCTTCAGGTAGCACCCCAGCGTCCCTCCTCAGAGGCGTTCCCTGACCACCCCTGCCATTGTCTAAATCACCTCCACAATCACTCCTTACCACATTCTCTAGAAAAATACTTTATCACTCTCTGAATTCATCTTATTTGCTTTCACTTTGCTTGTTGACCAGCTCCCTTTACTACACGGTAAGCTCCAAGAAGATAAGGACCTTGTCTTTTTTTTCTCTCTCTCAGCTGTGTCTCCAGCACCCCAAGCAGTGCCTGGTCCGCAGCAGTGCACAAACAGTATGGACTGAATAATACTGGGTTGGCCAAAAAGTTTGTTTGGGTTTTTCAGTAAGATACTATAAAAGAACCCGAATGAATTTTTTGGCCAACCCAATACAAAGCTTAAGCACTGGTGAGCATCAGGCTGGCTACCTCATTCCAAAGACAGATGAGGAGCTGGGGGCTGATGCTGTGTGACTTGGGCATAGAGAAGTCCCTCTCTGGTCTGAGGTTTCCTATCTATTCATGTTAGCCCACAACTTCTGTGTCCAAAGGAACCCTTCCTGACCCATCCTTTCCTGTAAGGGTGGGACCATAGTGGATTCTGTAGTTTGACATGGGCTCTGCCACACTTGCCTACCTCTGGGAAGTCACACATCTCCTCCCTCCCCTCCCAAAAGGACTCAGGGATAAGTGAGATCCTGGATGTGATGTCAGCTGTCTCAGGTGTCCCAGAGATCCTTAGCAGGAGTACTTATATTGCTGTTTTTAATGGTATGATTTAATTTTCTGTTGTATTTTTCCATATCAGCTGTAGCAGCTCTTGCCCCCTGTTGGAAAAATATTTAAAGTAAACCCTTTTTAAATTCTAACCAGTCTGAGCTGAAATTAGAAAACAGAGTTTTAAATACTTTGGGGATGCTGCTTAAATTCCCCTTTTACAGAATTAGATGGTGGCCTTTAAAAACTGGTGTGTGGAGACTTCCCTGGTGGCGCAGTGGCTAAGAATCTGCCTGCCAGTGCAGGCGACACGGGTTCGAGCCCTGGTCTGGGAAGATCCCACATGCTGTGGAGCAACTAACCCCGTGCGCCACAACTACTGAGCCTGTGCTCTAGAGCCTGCGAGCCACGACTACTGAAGCCCATGTGCCTACAGCCCGTGCTCTGCAACGAGAGAAGCCACCGAAATGAGAAGCCCGTGCACCCCAATGAAGAGCAGTCCCCGCTTGCCACAACTAGAGAAAGCCCGTGCTCAGCAATGAAGACCCAAAAAAAAAATATATATATATATATATATATATATATAAAACAAAAAAAACCCAACTGGCGTGTGATATATACATGACCTACAACTATAAAGTCTCTTTATAGGAGTAGGTGACCTTTTTGTGGGTGGAGAGAAGAATGATGGCCCATTTGTCACAGGCCTTCCATTCTTTAAGCTGCTTTTAGAGCAACTATCTTGTTTGAATCCCAACCCTGGGGGAAGGGTTGAAGAATACTAGTCCCATTTGTCAGATGAGGAAACTGAGGCTTAGAGGGGTCAAATAACTCCCCCCTGAGGTTGATAAGGTATTAGGGAAGAGCTGGAAGCAGACTTGAGCTCCCAGTTGTGCCAGGTAAAATGATGAAACAGCCCAAGAGAAGCGGGGAGGGGGCAGAAGGGGATGGCTTTGCAATGCAAGAGCCTCAGCCCTGCACAGTGAAATGGGGAAACCAGTCTTACTGCAGCAGGCTTAGCTCAGGGAGCCGGGGTAGGTGGTGCAGCAGGGTCTCCAGGCTCTGGTCACTCAGGACCTTGCAGGACAGTCTGTGAAACAAAGCATCTGAATGAGGTGGGGAAATCTTGGGAAAAGCTAGATGGGTCCTAAGCCAGGATTGCCCAAAACACCCCCTCTGAACACTGGGGTCCTTGAGTTATCATTGAGGCTGGAGGAAAAGGAAGGTCATATATGCTTGGAAAATGCTGGGTTAAGCCCCATTAATTTTCTTTGCTGCAGGACTTCTCAGAGCCTTTAATCTGCCCTTGTGCGTTGTGAATTTCTAAAGGGCTATAGTAGACATTTTTCCCCCAAAAGGCATGGACTAATAGGATTATCATTTTGAGGGCCATGAAGACTGGTACCCTGGAGAACACACCTGTTAAGAAGAGAATGCCGCCTTAACCCAAAGTAGTGAACATAATGGTGGCAATTCAGGCACGTTAACAGGTCAGCAAAGGAGAGATGCAGGGTAGCTCGGGTCCCTGACTGCCCATCAAAACCAGACCAACCAGCTGATCACTTGTCTAGATAATTCATCAGAAGCCAGTCCACTTAGGAGAAACTCCTGATATTCATCCTTTGGTCTCTGCTCTGGCTGGAGGACTGGGTCAACCAGAGTCTCTAAGCACCTTGGGGTTTACATACAGCCCTCCCTGCGAGTCTAGAGCCACTTCCTGACCCCCAGAGGCGTTTGGACTGTATTTTCCTTCTGCCTTTCTCCCCTTTTGCTGCCCCTTCTCTCTGTCCCTGTTTCTTTGTCCCCTGCAGGCTGCCCTTTCCCCTCACTGGGGCTGCCAGGAGCCTGGCCCATCTCCATCACATTACTGTCCGGCTGAAGGGGGACCCAGCTTCACCTTGGGGGGAACAGTAAAAGGGGCCACCTATGGTTCTGGAACTGGAAGCGAGGAGCCTCTGCCAGGGCCCAGGCTGTAGGCTCAGCTCTACCTGCTCTGTCCCAGGATTGGGCCTGGGGCTCTGAGCACAGGCAGAGCAGAGGCATTCACTGAGGGGTAGTCTGACCACAAACACCAAATACACACAGTGCTACGGCCTCTGCTTGGGGTCAATGTGGGGTTTACACACTGTTTTTTTTTTTTTTTTTTTTTTTTAAGCAACAGAACTTTTACCTTTATCTTGGCATTTGGAATGCCAAAATGTACACATCATGTACCATGGTGATGAGTGATATTAAAAACCAGGGGCAAGTGTGGGGGGAACTCTCTGCACTAGTTTTGCAACTTTTCTGAAAGCAAGCCTTAAACTATTCTAAAATAAATGGTTTATTTGAAAATTCATTGGTTCCACACATCCTGATATTCTAGGAAAGCCACAATGTTCTATTATGAGACAAAAGTTCACTGCAAATCTTGTTAAGATCCTGTATCTGTTAACATCAAAACCACCTTCCTCCATATCTATAAGTGTTTGAACATGGAGAGAGGTATGGAAGGACACACCCCAGGTGTCAACATGGATAATGAGCTTGTTGCAAGGACCAGAGGGCGTTTGAGGCGGGAGCCAGAAAGCAAGAAAAAAAAAAAAAAACTGTAGCAAAATGGAAAAACACATATGGGGCGATGTAAAGCGAAACTGCAGAACGCAGCTGGCCTGTGATTTCGAACAGGAAAAAATTTGTATATGCAGATAGAGAAGGTCAGCAGGACAAATGACAACACTGAGTTGATGAGGGACGGGGTTATTTAGATGAGGGAGGTTTGTCTTGGGTTTCTTTATTTTAAGGTAATTATTGTAATAAAATTACAATGATGATGAGGGAAGGAAAGTCTGACCCACCACTTTGCAGATAACAAAGCTGAGGCCTGAGGGGTTAAAGCCATTTGCCCAGAGTTACCCAGCTTGTTGGTGGCTGAGCCAGGACTCCTGATTCTAAGCCCAGTCTCTGGTCACAGACCCAGGCGTTCTGGAGTGAGCTGGTAACCCAGGCTGGGGGATGCCCTGAGGAGGGGCCTTCAGAATCACAGGCTCCAGCCACAGAGGCAGGCCCAGCTGAGTGCCAGGGTGGGGCTCCAGGGGTGCAGGGGGGAAGACTGGGGCTCCCAGGTGCCCTGAGTTGAGCCGATGGGGAGATGTAGCCCTGGGCCCTGCACGGCCTCTCTCAGTGGGAGGGATGAGGTGTTTGAAGCTGGGGCCATTGGGAGGCAAGGAGCCTTCCACCAATGGGTTAGGGAACTCCCATGGCGTAGGGCTACGGGGTCTGGCAGGAAGGGACCAGGAGGGACTCATCTGGTCTCTAACCAGGACACCCCACCCCAGGTCACTGGGCAGGTGCCCACGTTGTGCCCCTGCGGCTGTGTCCTCCGTACTTACTTGACTTCCAGAGGCCCCGGGCACTTCTCCAGAGTCTCACAGAGGCGGGAGAGGCTCAAGGGCTCCAGCTGACATTCCCTGAGGCTGAAAAGGTGCAGCGGGCAGGGCGAGGGGGTCAGGGAGGGCTCAGGGTCCCTGTCCAGCCCCAAGGGCTCTCCGCTTCTCCCAACGACTTTCCTCCCCAGCCTGCAGGCCGCCAGCCCCTGCAGTGCCAACAGGGCATGCTCTCTACCCCTTACAGCCCCCAGTCCCCCCACTCCAACAGAAACAGTCAAGGCCCCCTGAGCGCCCAGCTGCCCTCGTCCAGTCCCAAGTCCTCCCCACTGCCCCTGCCTACATCCAGGCTATCGTTGTCACTCACCTGGGCCACTTGAACATCCCCTGGGTTCCCCCTCTTGCCTCCCTGCAGTCCTCCACCCTGCCAGCGTCTTAGCTTTAACAAATACAAATCTGGCCAGCCTCTCCTGTGCTGAAAACCCTCTGTGGCTCTCCATTATCCTTAGGCTAAAAGCAAAATGCCTTTCCCATGTCTCCACTCACCTCCACTCTCCCTGTATAATAAGCTCTAGCCACACAGAAATGCTTCCCCAGAGCCAAGCCTTCACTCCCCTGGGCCTCTGCGTGAGCTGTCCCGCCTGCCTGGGATCCTGCCCACCCCGTCCCCAGAGAACCCTGTTCAGGCCCCAGCTAACGTGTCTCTCTTCTTAGGTGAGGAAATCAAGCCCCAGAGAGGGGAGGCGCCCAGCCAGGCTCTCACAGCCCCTCATGGCAGAGCTGGGAAGTCTTCAGAGAAAACAATGCAGAATCTTCTCTACAGGGAACGCCGGAGCCAGCAGCCCCGTCACCCGCCCTCACACTTCTCCCCACTCCTCTCAAACTCTCTTTCCCCTGTCTCCCAACCCCCAGGCTCTCCACTCCCTCACCCCTTACCCCACTGTGGTTACCCCTAAACAAGAAGTGGGTAAGATGGTACCAGAAGCTCCTGGAGGTGCGGCGCTGACCGAACCCCAAGAACTGGGCTCCAGCTTGGAACTCTGGCAAAGACCCAGCAGCCAACAGATCCCTAGGAGTGGGGAAATCATTTTGAAAGGAAAGTTCAAAGCACCCACATTGGAAGGCTAGACTCATTAGTTGGGGCTGGAAGGGGCCCTCGGGACAGTCAAGCCCCTCCCTGTACGGATGGGGCAACTGAGGCCCAGGGAAGGGAAGCCAGAGTGAGGATGCCAGCAGCTTATACCTATCCAGGTGGGCAGCACCTGAGCAGGTCGAGGGGAGCTAGGACAGAGCCCTCCTCTCTCTGACCGTTGCTGTAGGTATCATCCACCTATCTGTGCCTCAATTCTTTTGGCTTCAAGAACCCAGAGAGTTCCCAGAAATGGAGACCCTAGCTCGGCAAGCAATACCACCCGGGCTTCAGGCAGCCCACCTGCTACAGCAGTGTTTTTCTCTAACACATTAGCTGGAAATGCACTCTGCCCAGCTGGCCCTGCTTTAGGAGCCCTGTGCTTTTGTCCGGGTGAGACCAGGGTGCCGGGCTCCACTAGGGGGCAGCCGGGAACACCTGCGGAGAATAGTTGACCGCAAAGATGTGGAAACTTTTTCAGAGCACCAACGGTTCTTGGCTTCTCTAATGTGATACTCAAGAGTGTGAAAGGGCAGGGATTCATATGAAGTCAGGACGCTGCAAAGTGCTGCAAAGGTCCTCAGTGGCAGAAACACAGCGGCTCCCCTCTACCCTCCCACACATCCGCTCTCCTAACACCTGCTCTGCTGCAGCATCACCCGTCAGCCCCTCCCTCCCATGTGCACTCCTTCTTAGAAAAGATTGAAAGCAGCTGATTACTGCAAATTTATATGGGGGAGAGGTTACAGAAGTGATTAATTCCAGCCTGCCAGACCTGGGCTAACAGTCAGCATGGGTCTGGGGGTTGGGGGCACCTATAAGAAATGGGGACCAGAGAGAGAGAGGGGAGGCCCCCCAACCTCAGAGCTTTCCCTCCTTACCTGTCTCTTCCATCACCTCTCAGGATGACGTGTTGGCTCTCAGAGCTGCAGGCAGAGAGGAGGCGGCAGCCTGAGAAAGGGCCAAGGGCCCCCTTCCCAGGCAGCAGCAAGAGACCAGACAGGTTGGGTCAAGGAAGACCTGCATGGTGGCCTGTTTTCTCAGCAAATAGGACAATAAATATACATACAAAGCACACCACCGATATGACTTCCTTTGATTCTCACAATAAAATTGTGAGGTAAGGAAGTGTTTTTTTTTTTTAACATCTTTATTGGAGTATAATTGCTTTACAATGGTGTGTTAGTTTCTGCTGCATAACAAAGTGAATCAGCTATATGTATACACATATCCCCCTATCTCCTCCCTCTTGTGTCTCCCTCCCACCCTCCCTATCCCACCCCTCTAGGTGGTCACAAAGCACCGAGCTGATCTCCCTGTGCTACGCGGCTGCTTCCCACTAGCTAGCTATTTTACATTCGGTAGTGTGTATATGTCCATGCCACTCTCTCGCTTCGTCCCAGCTTACCCTTCCCGGTCCCCGTGTCCTCAAGTCATATATATATATATATATATATATATATATATATATATATATATATGTTAGCATACGGTATTTTTCTCTTTCTGACTTAACTTCACTCTGTATAACAGTCTCTAGGTCCATCCACCTCATTACAAATAACTGAATTTCGTTTCTTTTTATGGCTGAGTAATATTCCATTGTATATGTGCCACATCTTCTTTATCCATTCACCTGTTGATGGACACTTAGGTTGCTTCCATGTCCTGGCTATTGTAAATAGAGCTGCAATGAACCTTGTGGTACATGACTCTTTTTGAATTATGGTTTTCTCAGGGTATATGCCCAGTAGTGGGATTGCTGGGTTGTATGGTAGTTCTATTTTTAGTTTTTTAAGGAACCTCCATACTGTTCTCCACAGTAGCTGTATCAATTTACATTCCCACCAACAGTGCAAGAGGGTTGCCTTTTCTCCACACCCTCTCCAGCATTTATTGTTTCTAGATTTTTTGATGATGGCCATTCTGACTGGTGTGAGATGATATCTCATTGTAGTTTTGATTTGAGTTTCCCTAATGACTAATGATGTTGAGCATTCTTTCATGTGTTTGTTGGCAGTCTGTATATCTTCTTTGGAGAAATGTCTGCTTAGGTCTTCTGCCCATTTTTGGACTGGGTTGTTTGGTTTTTTTGATGTTGAGCTGCATGAGCTGCTTGTAAATTTTGGAGATTAATCCTTTGTCAGTTGCTTCGTTTGCAAATATTTTCTCCCATCCTGAGGGTCGTCTTGTCGTCTTGTTTATGGTTTTAAGGAAGTATTCTTACCCCTGCTTCACAGATCAGGAAACTGAGGTGTCAAGAGATGCAGTGACGTGCTCAAAGCGGCACAGCAGGTAAGTGGTGAGCCTGTATTTGAACCTGGTCTGTCTGCTACCGTCACACCCATTCTTGGAAGGGGGGAGGGGAGGAATAGGTGGACTTCACCTGAAACCATGGATGATCTGCTTTGCCTTGGCCAGGGCCACTTGGCTAGCTGCCTTCCCTTATACACTCTCATCAGCTCCAGAGACCCCACAATTCAGGTGGGTCCCTGAGAACTCAAGCTCCCACCAGGGAGCTCCCAGTTTCCTTAAAAGTCTCCCAGGACAAGTCAGAGTGTAACTACAGGAGAGTCGATGGATTGTGCCCCGTGGTGAATTTGGAGAAATTTGAGTGTCCCTGGAGCCATATTTCACTCATTCATCTATTCATTCATTTCACAGACACTCATTGCTTGTTCACTGGACCTGGTATCATACCAGGGCCCTGAGGATGCTATATCGTGAATGGGACAGATGAGGGGCAGAGTGGGGTCCCAGGGACACTCTCACCTGAAGTCCAAGTGCAGAAGCCACGGCAGAGTAGAGAAGCACTGGGTCAAACTGAACACAGCATCCAGGGACAAACCGTTCTCACTGAGGCTGGAGAATCAGAGGGATGATGCTGACAGAGGTCACTCAGGACTCAAAAACACCCTCTTTGTGGTCAGGGCACAGGGGAGGGCTGTCCCTCCCTGTTCCAGACGATGGAACACACTGAACCCTGGATGGTCAGAGCACCTATGCCAACTCCCCATTGCACAGATGGGGAAACTGAGGTCCAGAGAGCAGCAAGGTCTTGCCCAAGATTATGAGATATGTTGGTGACAGAGCTGAGATTGGAACTCCAATTTGCATAAAATTTGCCTGCAACGGCGGCGAGGCCTCCCCCCCCCCACCCACCCACCCACCGCAGGCCTCGAACGGGAACAGAAGCAATCTCCTCTGGTCCCATCTTCCCAAAGAAAGGCGGCCTGAGCAGGCAGTGCCCACAGGCCACAGCACTGGTTACAGCGAAAACCATAGCCACTGCCTCCAGAGTTTATGTGTTAACTGACTGGGAACCGGGGGCTCAGAGAAGGTGATGTAATTTGTCCAGGGACACTGGGAACCTGGGGTCTGTGACCAGGTTCCTGTGGCCAGGAAGCCTCTCCCTTGGGCCCAGAAGAGCCAGGGAGGAGGAGGGGGGGCCATGTGAGCTAGGAGCACAGGGACCTTTAAGGGCCTAGAAACTCTGGCTGGCTGCAGGTAAAGTCTGGGGGTTCACGGCCTCCTTCCAGGGCCTCCCTCCCGTAGTGCACATCTCCCCCATCTCTGCCAGGTGCTCAGGGCTCTCAGATCTCCCCGGGCACCCTTCCTGGGTATCCTCTCTAGTCCAAACCCTCCCTGCCTACCTGGCCAGGGCCCCCCAGTCAAACGGCCCCTCCCCTCCGCCCCCTGCCCCCAGGGCCAGAATGGCTGCCAGCTGTTATATTAATCAAGTAATACCTCCCAGCCCTGCCTGCCTGGGCCTCCCAGAGAGACTGCGCAGAGACAGGGAGACGGGTTTGAGAAACGAAGGCTTAACTCAGCAGCTGGATCGCTGAGTCACAGAGACCGGTGTCTATTTTAGTGAGAAATGCAGTAGTAACTACCCTGTCCTGGGGAACTGGCTACGTGTCGGGGACTGGCCCCGGTGGCTGACATGCATTGTCTGATGTAACCTTTATGATAACCTCAGGAGGGAGTGAGATGGGACACAGAATATCCTCCCACCCCATCATCTCCTTCCCCCCTTCCCACACACATGCTCTCATGCAGAGATCAAACCTCAGAGGCTTTGCCCAGAGGGCTACTCACTTCAAGGACTGCAGAGCGCCCATCCCTGGAAGCAGCTGAGCCAGCAGGGCCGCACCTTTGTCCCCGAGAGCATTGCCTGATAAGCTGGGAGGGGCACGCGGAGAGGACAGGTCAGCGGAGGGCGGGGGTGGAGACAGCTGGAGCTCGCCTCTCCACCCCAGTCACTCAGCTTCTCCTGAAACTGGGATACGGTCCTGGGCTGCCAGGCCGGATCTCAGCACATGGCAGTGGATCAGCTGGGGTATCCCAGCATGTGGATGTGGGATCTTAGTTCCCGGATCAGGGATCCAACCCGCGCCCCCTGCATTGGAAGCGTGGAGTCTTAACCACTGGACCTCCAGGGAAGTCCCTCCCCTCGGGTTCTCATCCCCAGGTTTGTGACCCCTGAGGGGTTAGGCTTGGGCTTCAGAGAGTGTCGAATATGGGGGAACCTGTATTTTAGGGGGAAGAGTCACAACTTTCACCAGGTTCTCTAAGGGCTTCCTGATTGCAGTGGGGAAAGAATAGATGACCCTAAATCTTAAAACACAGAACAAAACGCAACACACTAACACCTACCCACTAATGGGCCCCACCACCCCGCCTTCCAGCAACCACTCACTCGAGGTGACAGCGGCAGCAACTTCCTCCCAGTGCTTTGCAGAGGTGCTCTAGGTGCTGGGCTTGCAATGCACAGTGCGTCAGCCTAGGGAGGGTAGGACCACAGCCCTGCAGCCCCTGCCCAGCTCAAGAGAGGCGAGCGGGGCTCCCCACCCCCAGATACACAGGCAGAGAGGCTTGTGGAAAGGGGACTGGGATGCATCGGGCACCCGGACAGGCAAAGAGGGACCGACACACAGCACACGTGAGATGTCACATGGGCAGAGAAGAGCCAGAGAGAGTGAGAGACACAGAGAGAAGCAGACCAAGATGGAGACACCCCGAGATAAGAGAGGGAGGGAAGGAGACAGACGCAGAAAGAGACTGAGAGAAATTGAGTGCCAGAGGAGAACAGACAGACAGGGAGGGGCATTCAGATGGACACAGAATCAGAGAGGAGGCCGGAAGAGTTGTGATGGGAGCCCTGCGGAGGCCGAGCTGAGTCCCCAGGCCTAGACCCCAGGATCAGGAATGAAGGGGCCGCGTGCTCCCCATTTTCTCCGTCCAGAGTTCCACAACCCCTCAGCTACTGGAGGTCGGGGGAGCTAAGGGGGGTGGGAACCGTGGGCAGGGAAGGTGACTGGGGGTCTGCCATGTGAGCCCCTTCTGGGGTGGGCTGGGCAGGGGAGATGCGAGGCAGGAAAACCAGGACATGACAGCAGGTTGTATCCTCCGGGGGGCACCTGGCACTGGGGACCCGGGACAGGCTCTGTGCCCAGGAAGGGGGGAGGCGGGAACCATGCTCGGGGCCCGCAGGCCATCACGGTACCTGATCCTTGGGGCGCACAGGAGCGGATCAGAGGGCATCTGGAACGTAAGGCTGTCAGGAAATGCAGCCCTGGAGGGACACACACCAAGGCCATGCTGAGCAGACACCTCATCCACTGCCTCAGACTCCAGCCTTAGCCTCACTTCCCACCATTCAATCCCTATATGAGACCTGGGGACAGTCAGACCTTGGTTCCAATTGGGCTTCTCGGCTTCCTGGCTGTGTGACCTGGGACAAATCACTTAGCCTGGTACTGGGAGAACATAGGTGAATTGTCTTAGTTTGCTGCTTGGTGCATAGTAAGTGCTCAGTTAACCTTGGCTCTTAGGATCATTAATCTCATCACCAGCAGTGCCTTCAAAGATGTCAGCCTCAGCTGCAAGCAAGCCTTCTAAAGCTCAGACCCTACAGAAGAGATTGTAGGTGCACACTGAGGAGCAAAGAGCTGAGTCTCTGCTCAGGGGCTGGCCTGGGGCAATCCAGGAAGGCACCCTGGTGGGGGCAAACACCCTCTAAAGGGTCCTTGTGCCAAAGGGAGCCAGAAGTTCCGACCAGAATCGGAGCTACACGCCAGGCGATCCTCTGGGTTTAGGCTGAAGGGCCTCCATCTCCCACGCGTAGCTCTCTGGCTACCCCACCCCTGCCCCAGTCTGCCGTCTGCACGTGGCATCCCAGGGCTCTCTTCAGGTACCACTTGGGAAATGGGGAGGCAGTTTGTCCTTTGAGCCTCCCCTTAGGGCTTCATCCCCAGCCAAGCCTGCTGGCTTCTTGTGCCTTCATGAATTTGTCAAGGTCCCCCGGCTGCTGAGTTACCGGCTGCTGAGTTACACTGTCCAGCGGTGGTGGTCAAGGAGGGGACGGTCCTGGCCCTACCTTTTCTGGGTCACCTCCTGCTCCTCCGGCTCTGGGGCAAACTTGAGGACCACAGTTTTGTGCAGCAGGCTGCAGACAGGAGGGGAGGGAGGAGGCAGCTGCTGGGGTGCCCAGCTGCTGCTGCGTCTTATTTTTAGCCCGGCCTCCAGGGACCTCTAAGGTGCCATCCCCCTGCCTCTAGCTGCGGCACTTCCTCCGATTTTGCCCTGATGTCTTCTCTCACCTGAGGGTACTCAGCCCTGTGCGGTGAGGCCACTGCCAGGTCGGGGCAGGCACTGAGAGCCCAGAGCATCCCTAACCTCGCCTTTCCAAGTGAACGTTATACATACATTTTCCATATGACAAAAGTCATCCTTATTCCCTCTGGAGAACTTAGAAAATGTAGAAAAATAAGAAGAAAATAAAGAAAAATCCCCCACAATCTCTTCCACATATCAGTTATCACTGACGATAACATGTGGAGTGGGTCCTTCAAGTCTTCTGTCTTCTTAATGCAGCTAATATTCTTTCTTTTTCGTTCTTAAAAGATGGGATTAAATTTACAAACTCCCTTTTAAAAACTCCCTTTTAAATATTTCAAAGGACAGATGAAGCAAGGGTTACATGATGTTGATAATTATTGGTGGGAGCTGGGGAGTTCATTATACCATTCTCTCTAGCTTTCAGTTTGATTGCAAAGCTTTATTATAAAAATGAGGAATTTAAAAAAATGTTTCTTTAAGGTTTTTGTTTTTGTTTTTTCTTAGCCATACCACACGGCTTGTGGGATCTGACTGAACCTGGGCCACGCCTGTGAAAGCACCGAGTCCTAACCACTGGTCCCCGATGAATTAAAATTTTTATGTTTACTTAATATGCCAGAGTCATCCCTCCACACTAAAGCTGCAGCTATATCATGGTTCCATCAGTTCTTCTCTCTGGAGGCAACTTAGTTCACTTAACTAGTATCACTAATACCTTACTGTTAAAGATTTAAGTTATTTTCATTTTTTTCCTATTATAATCAACACGGAGGTGAACATCCCTGCAGGTCAAAGTGTTTGCACAGTCACGGTGATTTCTTCATTATAAATTCCTAGAAGTGAATGGAGTGTCATTTGGAATGCCCTAGGGGCCTTTACTGAATCATTATATACAGTGAACCAAGGCCCCTAGTACCACCTTGAGGGTGAATCTGGTCTCCCTTTCCTCCTTTAAGGGGTGTTTAAAGCAGGAGAGCCCCTATGGGTGGGGACTGTGTTGACATTAATTAGCATCTGTCCTCAGCTGCCCAGACTGAATGCGGAGACTTACAGAAACAAGGTTGGGCCCTGTCTGAGGTCGGGTTCCCTTAGAAGCAGAGTCACTTGGTCACTGTGTACATGATGTACCGAGGGTCTGATCTCAGGAGAAACCAGTAAGGGACCGAGGGAAGCAGAACAGGGCAGGTCCTCAGCCTGATCCCACAGGAAGCATGAATGCAACACAGCAGAGCCAAATCTGACTGCCTGTTGGATCTGTTTCTTTTACTTTAACCTTTGCTTTTCGTTGCTTTTGTTGTCATTATAATAGTACATAACTGCCTGCCTCAGGGAACCCTGCCCCTCTGCCTGAATGTTAAAGTGCCTCCGCTCAGCTCACAGGGAGACAATCTGACCCCGCCCACCTGTGGCTGGCTGCAAGAAAGAAGAAATTAACACATCCCCTCCCCAGGGCTGGCCATTCCAGGGGATATTTGCAAAACTTATGGCCCTTTTACTTCCTCATGTCCCCCCCCACCCTCTGTGCTATAAAAGAAACTGGCATCCAAACCCCGATAAGATGGTTTCTCGGAGACACTAGTCTGCCATCTTCTTGGTCTGCCTCAACACCTCGTCTGTCTCCGATTCATTGGCCGGTCGTGCCTTGGACTTGGTAACGTCAATAGCACCCACCGGAGGTAAGGGGGCCGGAGGGTTATACCTCTGCCTCTGTCATTGGCCGCTCCTGGCTGGGAGGATAAGGGGGTGTGTAACCTCCCAGGCATGACTGGCTCTTATCGGCCCAGGGCATTTCTCTGGAGGAGGTATAAGCTGTGCGCAGCCAACACCCACAGCAGCTGGGACTGGGCACCCAGCTGTAAAGGGGGTCTGGGCGGGGCACTAGCATCTTCCACAGGTCTCCAAGGCCTGGGGCCAGAAAGAATTCCAAGGACTTAGAGAGAACGACAGGAGAGCCCAAGAGCTCCACGCTAGAGGTGAGAGTGGGTGATGGTGGTCCACTGGGAGTCCCTACCTGACGTGTAACTCTGCCAGGGTCCGGCACGTGCTCACTGCACTCAGCACGCGGCACACCCCAGCCAGAGAAAGCCCATTGCTGCTGAGGCTGCGGAGAGGAAGAGGGAGACGGCCATTAGCAGGTGGCTGGAGTCCCCAGCGCCACACAGCTCCAGCCGCCGCCTCCTCCTGGCTCAGCAGCCGGCTGGCTGTCACTCGTGGAATGTCCTGGGTCTTTAACCAGGGCGTCTTAAAGGGTGAGCCATGAAGCATATAACCTCTTGCCCCACACAGAGAATAAAGTTCTCCAGCTGGAGCAGTAAGAGCTGACTCACTGTTTTTGCTTCTCTGATCCTCCGTTTTCTGGTCTGAAAAAAACCTACCATTTTAATCCCATTTTACCAATGGGGAACCTGAGGCCAAGAGATATGAAGTTACCTTCCCAGGGTCACAAAGCTACTGAGTGACAGAGCCAGGGTCTAAATGCAAAGCCAAGACTCCAAACCACAGATACCCTAACCTCAACACTCCCCCACTCCCACTCACACTTGACGCTAAGACTCCAACACATCCCCCCCACCCAATAGCACCCCTAGCCCACACCGTGCAACACCACAGCACGCCCAATAGCCTACTACCCTTTCTTCTCATCCCACCACCACAACGACCCACCCCTTCACCCCAAAACCATATCCCACCATACCACTTCCCACTCCAACAGCCCAGCACCCATCCACCCGATACCCTAGCGCTGTCCCAGTGCAACTCCTCATCCCACCCCACCCCGGGGCTGTTGTCAGGACAAACTGGAATACAAGCTACTGATGTACAGTGAACACATTGTACATGTCCAAGGGATTTTAATAACTGGAACAAAGTGGCTCATGCCAGAGGCAAAGGCAAGGCATGGTTGAGCCACTCCACCTACGCTGGAGCTGGGAGAAAAAAGTAGAGCTGGTCGGTGAGACGGCAGTACTTCTGGTGACTATGGGCACGGGGACCAGGGGTGGCGGGGCCCAGGGGTGGCGGGGACCAGCTGGGGCTCTCCTGGGCCCTCCCTGGTAGTCGACAGTGGGGTGGGCGACTCACTCCAGCTTCCTGGCGATGTGCAGCTGGGGTGCAGCCTCCGCCATCAGTTGACAGCCTTCATCTTCCAGCTGGTTCCCTGAGAGGCTGAGACAGAGGGGTCTGATGTCCTGTGCTGCCCCTCAACCCTCAGCACTCACACAATCAAAGCATCCCTCCAACAAATGAGACTCAATTATAATGAACATTGAAAGATTGCGTACCACATGCCTGGAGCTGTCCTAGATGCTCTTACAATTATTGGATATTTAATCCTCATAACAACCCTACGAAGTAGGCACTATTATTATCCTCATTTTACTGATGAGTTAACCGATGGTTAAAACATTTGCTCAAAGCTGGGCCTGGGATTTGAACTCCGGCAGCCTGATTTCAAGGACCCATCCTCAACTGTCTCTTTATGCTGCAACCTACATAATTACTTCTTGTGATGAGCTCCACGCTTATCGGGAAATCTGATCTAGTCTGGGGACCAGGAGAGGCTTGCCTGATGTTTGAGCTACTTGCTAGAAAAACTAGGAGTTCAACAGGTAAGTGGTGGGAGAGAGATGGGCGAAGGGTGTTCCTGGCAGTAGGAACAGCACAGTCAAAGATTCCATGACATAGCACATTAGAGGACTTGAAAAAGAGCAGGTATGTCTGCATTAAAGATGGAGTGGGAGGGTGGGGTCAGATGGGGCTTGTGGGGTTGGGGGCACGGTTCTGGATCACACAGGATTTTAGGATTTGGGCTTATCCTGAGCACTGGGAAGGGGGCAGGCAGTAAAGGGCAGTTCACTGCCAGGTGGAGGTGGCCAGGATGGAAGCCTAGTGAGGAGGTATCCAAGTGAAAGATGAGAGTGGTCTGGACTAGGGAGGTGGATGAAGGGGATGGAGAAAAGAGAATTTTTTTTTTTTTTTTTTTTTTTTTTTTTTTGCAGCGCTGCACGGCATGCAGGATCTTAGTCCCAGACCATGCGGGGTCTTAGTTCCCTGACCAGGGATCGAACCCATGCCCCCTCCAGTGGAAGCGCAGAGTCTTAACCACTGGACTGCCAGGGAAGTCCCCAAGAGAACGGTTTTGAGAACTATATAGGGGGTAGGTCGACTCAGGATGGACTGGCTATAGGAGGAGGGCAAGGGAGCTGAGAGGTGTCTGGTCTGTGTAACCAGGTGGGTGATGGGGCACACCTGCAGGTGAGAAAACTGGGGGAGGGACAGGCTTGGTGGTGGCGAGGTGGGTGGAAGTACGTGAGCTGGGTAAAAACCACCTTCTAATCCTGTCTTGGTTCTCCCAATGGGACAAGGTCAAGGCTCAAGCTTTGGTCATCAAGGCAACCCTCACCCCGTCCATCTTGCCCTAGGGTGGGGCCACTCAAAATACATGATGGCATTCCATCACCCCACCTTCATGCCCATTTGATTTCCTGGGATGACCGTGGCAGGGGTCCCTTCCCAGTGACATGACAGGACCTCCACCAATCCCCAAACCCCACTCTCAAAGGCTCTGCTCAGGAGCTGGACATCATGGGAATTTCTCCAGCCCAAACAAGAGAAGGTCATCTCATGCTACTCTGGGAGGAAGACAGGGTGAGGGGACCCTGAGGGCTGTGGTCTGGAAGACAAGACTATACGTGATGAGGTTTCTGCTTCGCAGATCTCAGGGAGGATAAAGCCAGGAGCCAGGCTGTCTGAGCCTGAATCCTGTCCTAGACTCTTCCTAGCCTTGTGACCTTGAGCAAATTTACCTTTCCGTGGCTTAATTTCCTCCACTATAAAATGCACGTAGTAACAGTACTTACATCATAGAAATATAAGGATTAAATGAGAGGATGTATGTAAAAGCACCTGGGACAGGACGGGTGCTAAATAATGGTAGCTGTTAGGATGATCTGATTCCCCCCAGTTCTTAATAAAGCAGCATGCCCTTCCCCACACCGTCCACCCAAAGCTGAGGCCTTGCCTACGCTGCCCTGCCCCCCCCTTTCTGTCTCCTGTCCCAGCGCTCCCCATCATACTCACTCCACTTCATCCAGGTGTGGACCTTCCCGGAGCTGGGCTATGAGCACTTCCACATCATGGACCCCGAGCTGACACTTCTGGAGCCTGCGGCGGGGGTAGGGCCGTAAGAAGCTACGTTATGCCTCCTGTGGCTCTGAGTGCGGCTACCAGGAAGGAGCTGCAGCAGCCAGGAGGCCGGCAGACATGGGTCTAGCCTTTGCCTTGTTTTTCAGTAGCTGGGTGACCTGGGATAAGGCACCTAACCTATGTGAGACTCAGTTTTCTCCTCTGTCAAATGGGACTAATAATGTGTACTTTGCAGGGTTTTCTGAAGAATCACAATGAGGTAATGGATATAAAATACTACAGTGCCAAGCACAAAGCAAGGGCCCATTAAATTACAGCTATTATTGTTGTTATGACAAGTGCTCCTTGCTCAGGCCGGGATGGGTTACTCATGTCCTTTCCCCGCTCCACATCTGCTTCTCCCTTTATCCTCCCTGCCCCTGCCGTGCCTCCACTGGGAAGGGACCCTCCCCCCATATCATATCCCTCCCCTCAAAGCAATGGATCCCATCCCACTGAGGTACCTGAGGGCCAGGCTTCTCCTCTGAGCCTCTTTCCTCTGGTTGGCATTGCCCCGTAGGTCCGGGTCTCTGGCAAGAACAAATCCAACACTGACCTGGGCTCAGGAGTCCAGGGCCTGATGGACCAAACCTCTTCCCTTGGTTTCTAGGAACTGAAGAGCCTATAGCATGACCCACAGTGAATGAATAACAAAGATGGTTGCCTGAAGGTACTAAAGGTGCTACCCAGCAAAGCAGCAGGGAAAAAGGTTTAAGGTCAATTGGGACCTTTATTCAAATTCTGGCTCTGCCATACATAGCTGTATGGCCTTGGGTAAGTCACTTCACCCATCTGAGCCCCAGTTTTCTCTTTTCTAAAGTGGGATGACAACATCCAACACATAGTGATCGAAGGACTGAAGGAGACGATGTACGGTCAAGTGCCCAGCATAGGCAAGCTTAGCAAAGTGCAAGCTTAGTGAAAAGAAGCTGCTATTGTCTAAGATGCCACAGTCTCCATTTGTAGATGTACCATCTGTGATTCAGAAGGCCAGGAGCATGGTCTGCATGTGGGTGCAGGCTGTGGGAAGCCAAGGCACCACCAAGTGTTCTCTCCAACTGGGCCAGGGGAGGACTGGGGTCTGCAGGGATGCTGGAACATCATGGATTTTCATAGACTTCTAGATCATTGCTGTCCAAAAGAACTCTCTGCAATGATGGAAATGTTTCCTATTTTTTCCATCCACTACGGGAGCCACTAGCCACCTGTGGCCATTGAGCACTTGAAATGCGGCTAAAGTGGCTGATGAACTGAAATGATCATTTTATTCAATTTTAATTAATATAAAATTAAATAGCCACATGGACTAGTAGCTACCGTATTGGGCATCATAGCTCTATGCAGTCAGAGGGTAAAAAAGACATTGGTCCTCCCAGATCCCTGTATGGGTGAGGAAACTGAGGCTCAGAGCAGGGAAAGGACTTGCATGAGGACATACAACTTCATGTGTCTCTGAGTCTCACAGGGAGGGGTGTGAGGGAAACATAGAAAGTTCTTTAATGGGAAGGCAACTTCCCTATTTCTGCCCAGTAAGGACTGGCCAAGCTGGAATCCATGCACAGCTGGAACAGCTAGCGCTTGAATGGCAGCGGGATGCCAGCGGTGCTCTAGGCACTTTAAATGTGTTAATTCATTTAATTCTCAGAACAAGTCTAAGATGCTGGTACCATAATTGCCTTCCTCCTTTTTTAATTGGAAGAGCTTTCCCCGCATAGTAATTCCAGTCTCACCATATCTTCGTGTCCTCCCTAAGGGTCTGATCCACTCTGACACTTATCATGATGCCCGCTCATCACAGGAGCTGGATGTGGTCCAGAGACACAAGAGGAAGCTAAGTCCTTGGCCAACTGTGAGAAGCAAGTCATTTCCCAGGGGAGAAATAGCAAGAAAAGTCCCCGCATTCCAGCTCTTCCTAAACTCTTTTTGCCACTTTTCCCCACAACTACCTAAGCCCAGATTGCTTCTCAGAATGAGCCCAAACCCACCCCATCCCTAGCTTCTTACCCTTGTAGCTCTGTAGCCGTCTCTGTGGGTGGGGAGAGAAGGAAGATGAGGTCCGCCTTCCTGCAGGGTCAGACACTGAGCCGTGAAACCAGTACACCAGCCCTACCTGTGCACCCTGTGCTGCCCCAAACATCCAGAGAAAGCTGATTTTGTAATCGACACAGAAACAGAACTGGCAAAAGTGCTCAATATCAGACATGTAAAACTGTGACTGTGTCGTTGCTAGACGAATCCTGAGTGTTTTAAAAAGTCAGGAAAACAATTTTTGCTAGAAAAGTTATAAAAGTTAGGAATGCTGAGAGCTTCTATAGGAGCCACAGTGTTGGGATTAAGAGGCATGACATTTCATCTACCCCGTGACCCCAACTGGCTAGTTCAGCACCACGGAGAGCGACACGGGACTCAGGATTCCCTCCACTCTGCCTATTGTTCCTAGATTTGTTGATTCATTCCCTCAACCACCCATCCGTCCGTCTATCCATTTACCTTTCCACTCATTCACTATTTATTGAGTACGAGGTGCCAGGCCTGAGCTGGGCTCTGGAGATACCGATGTGAGTAAAACAGACTCATGCACGCACACGTAGGTCTTGCAGACCAGTAGCCTCCTCCTTTTCCCATCCCCACTTTCTCCTCCCCTTTTCTCAAGACCCTGAAGGCCAGGATCCCATTCCCCCTGCTCACCTGACCTGCAGCATCCTGACGGTGGGGCACGTGACCGCCACATTCGTCAAGGAGAGGAGGGTTGACACGGAGACATTGCTGAGGCTCAGGCTGCATGATTGTGGCAAAGGTGTCAGGAGTGAATCCCCCATCCCATCCACCCCAGACTCTCTCTGCTCTCCGAGGGAGGAGGGGGAGGTCACTCAGGCAGGGGTGGTGGAAAGACAGCTTACTCAAGCTTCTGGAGCCGCGGCAGGCAAGGCAGTACCTCCACAACGCTCAGCACCTCCCAGTCCTTGAGCTGGTTGTCCCGAAAACTGTAGAGAGACCGAGGCCCAGTCCCTCAGCCCTGGGGTTGAGAGACTTGGGAGCCCCAGGTGGCTGGCGACAGGCGTGGCCATCTTCATGCAGGAGACACAAGATAGGGGCCTACGAGAAGTTCGTGGTATCCAGCAGGCCCAGCTAGGAGGAAAGGCCCTCTGCTGGCCTCACTTCCATCCCAGTTCAGCCCCTCTGGGAGAGTTTCTGCCTGGTGGCCCAAGGGATCCAGATGATGGACTGTGAAGGCCTCATGAGGTGGGATGAGGGGACCCAGCGCCCTGCTCTCTAGGCTCTGTCTGGGATGTGCCTGAGGCCTGAGTTCAGCCGGGCCTCTTGGTTCCCAGGTGATAGGCAGACTGGGATGCAGGAGAAGCTGCTTGCAGCCTCACCTCTGGCCCTGATTCACCCAAAGCCCTAGGCCAAGCACTTTCCTTTCTGACCTCACATTCCCCACCTGCCAAATGGGGTCCACAAACAGCCCTGCCTGGGTTCCTAGCTAGAGAGACAAAACAGCTGAAGAGTATAAGGGTGCCTCTGTGTGCAATCACTTGGTCAGGACAAAGGATCAGAAATAGTGAACTTGTTGACGTTTACTTTTCTTTCTTAATTATTGAGAGTGACCTTAATCTTTTCCCCCACCACCCAGAGTGATCGTGAACAAAGACACCCAGCAGAGGGGACAGAGCAGAGCTCTGGCTCAGCTAATGCTCCACTCAACAAGCAGTGCACCCTACTGCTGGGCCACATCTGCCAGGATGAAGGAGTGTCTTTTCTAAATCTCATAAAGGTGCTATATTATGCAGCAGTGGTCCTGCCAGAGAGCTGCTAAGGAGGATCCCTGGTCCCACCCTTCTCAGGCCACTCATCACAGACATAGGGCAGGAGTATATTCATACATATGTGCTTAGATGTGTATGTGGATCTAAGTGTGCAGGCATGTGTGTGCTGCACATGTGCATGTATGTGTGTCATATACTTAAGTGAGCAGGCAAGTGCAAGTGTGTGTGCACATATGTGCATGAATGTGGACGTATGTGTGTGTTTCATGCCTTTATGTGTACCCACACAGCACCTGCCTACACAATGCCATCCCTTCTCTCAGGGTCACAGAAAGAAGGGAGGGACTCTCAAAACTCAAGCTCCTTCAAGATGTCCCAAAATATTAGCACTTCTCTGGGGTCTCTGGGAGCCTTGTGTTTGGATCCAGTCCCACCCAGTTCTCGGACTGATGCCTCTCCTCTCTGAGTCTCACTGAAAAAGTAGTGGCCAGACCCTAATGGAATATACAGGACCCAGTCCAGGCTCAAGGGGGGCCCTGGGACCTGGACAGTGAATCCTCCCCTCAGCCAGTGAGCCCTCCTGGAGATCACTCACCTGATCTCTTCCAGCTGTGGACAGAGGGGCAAAGCCTGCACCAGGTGGCTGATGCCTTGAGCAGTGATCTTACTTCCCGCTAACCTACAGGGTAAGCAAAGATAGTGGGAAGAATGGGTGATGGGAAAGGGGACAGACCAGGAACCTGCCCTGTGTAGGGCACAGGGGCGGGAGGAGGGTTCCAAGCATCGCCGGCTGAGGATCCATCTCGGCCCCAAGCCCTGACTCACCCCAGCTTCTTCAGTTTCCCCATTGTCGGCAAGCACCTGGAGAGGGCTTCGGCAAAGGCGTCCCCACACCTCCTGCTCTTAAAGCTGCCACGGGAAGAGGCAAAGGGGCAGACCGTCAGTGGTGGGCGGGGCTTAGAGTTCATCACCCATTCCCTCCTCTGAGAGATGGAATTCAATCCAGTAATGGCAATAGGAGTAGTTGTTGCTGTCACTGTTGTAGTAGTAACAAGTACATATCATGGCAGACACTGCTAATCGTCTACCAAAACCCATTCTCCGCTGTAGCTATCACTGGGAACATGGTTTCCCGGCCAGAGGTGGTGTTTCCCAGCCTCCCCTGCAGCTCAGTGTGACCATATGACTCCGACTATGTTGTCACCACTGGAATGTGAGTGGAAAGGATGTGCTCTATTTCCAGGACTGAGCTTTAACCCAGTGGGCATGTCTAATCCGTGTTCTCTCTTTACTTTCCCCCAAGCCAGAGCACAGATGTGTCTGTGACCCAGCTCTGACCATGCAGATCAAGATGCCCAAGGAGATGATGCTGCAACCATGGAAGGGACCTGGGTCTCTTCATGGCCATGTGGAGCTGAGCCATCCCACTGACCTGGACCACTTACCTCTGAGCCTTCCATAAGAGTGAAAAAAAACAAAAAACAGAAAGAACCACATTATTTAATCCACTGTATATGGGGGGGGGGATTCTTTGTTATTGCAGCCTAAACTTTTCTCTAGCTACTACACATATCGAGGCTTTACTCTGTGCCAGGAACTGTGCCACAAAGTGTTTTTCATGCATTATTTCCTCTCATTCTCCCAACAACCCTATCAAGTAGGTATTATGACTGATTCATTTTAGGGATAAAGAAACTCAGGCTGAGGGGTTAAACACCCTGTCCAAAGCGAAGAGGCTCTAATAGTACAGCCTGGATCAGATGCTCCAGCCCATGACTGAGAGAAAAAGAGGGAAAGACTGAAGCCAGAAGCCATAACTAGAGGAGATCTAACTGGACCCCAGAGTTCCTGGGGAGGCAAGGAGCTTCCTCACTGTGTCACAGGCTGAGGGGCAGTAAGGAAGGACCTATCCGTTCTAATATTCAAGATTCTTCCTCAGTTTTCCTCAGCAGGGTTCCGCCGAGACCGGCTGGCCTCCGCTCTCCCAAAAGTCCAGTTCTCTCCCAGGGATGTTCCCAGGTACCCCCCAGAGCTCCCCTGTCCTTACTCTCACCTGAGATTCTCTACCTGCCCACAGCCGGCCAGGGCTTCAGGGCAGCGGGGCTCCAGGGGGCAGCCCTCAAAATCCAGGTGGATGGGGTCATCCCTGTGCCCTAGGATGTTGGTCAGGGCAGCCAGGTCGGCGTAGGTCA